TTCTGGACCACAACTACCATCCATATTTTTTTCAGTGAACACATTTTAAATTTAGATTTTAAACATCTCGTTCAGCAGCACAAGAAGCCTTGGCAGCAGTTAGCTTTGGCTAACCAGGATGATGTCATCATCCTGTGACAAACAGCTGCCGCTAACCCCTTTAAATTTCAGGGTTTAACATTTAACTTTTAAATTCTGATTTACGCTTTTGGATTTAGATTTTGTTACTGACATTATTTTTTTAACATTTAAATTTAAATCTTAATTTAAAAATGTAGCAAAATGTAAGAACAGTGAGCTAAATAACAACAAAATGTTTGTGGAAATTTTTTAACATTCAGCAAGTGAGCTAAATAATGAAAATGTGTTAGTGATATTTTTAATATTTAATTTTACACTTGGCCCCTCATAAGGCAGAAACGATAAAGAATTTATGAAAGAAAATATTCCTGTGTGGACAGGGTCTAAAACAAGCTGCAGGTGGGCTGTGTCTTTTAACAACACGGACATGATCCAGTGTAACATTCAAACTGAGAGATAACTTCCTTTGGAACTCCCAGCAATGACTGACGCACGTTCCACAGACAGTTTTTTAAGGACCCCCGAGTCCCAAATGATCTCCTCACTTCCGCCCGGTCACTGAAAATCCACGCTGGAGCTGGTAAAAAAAAAAAAAAAAGATTCCCTTTGGGGTTGCCACTTCCTCTGTCGTCTGTCACCGCTTCCTGGCTGCAAAGAGCAGGTAATGACAGCGCACAGGTGTTGCAAGGCGGGTGGTATCACAGCCAAGAAACCAGCGACAGAAACCGTCTTTATTTACCTCCTTTCAAACAAAACCTGGTTAATATCTCCAGCCTCATGTGGTTGCGTGCTGCAGGAGTGATGTCRGGCAGGTTAAATGTGCGCTCATACCTCTACAGCATGCAGCATGATTACACTCTGCCTSTTACTCAGATGTTTGCTCTGCTGCGCTGCACTTAGAAACTGATGCTTCATGAACTCTAGATATTGTTCTCATGAGGTCAAGCTTTGGAATTTCATGAAGATGATGAACGGTTGCAGATTTACTGAGCAGCTACTGCAGGAACAATAATAAACACCTTTTAAATAAAGAGCAAAGATTCCTTGCACCACCTGTCATCCCAGAGTTTTAGACAAACATCTGCTGTTTAGAAATGCTTGGTCAGACCTCAGAAACAACACTGTGCTMAAGCTCAAACTGAAACAATGGCCTTCCAAAGTTAATCCAATGTAGATGTTCATCCAATGACTGCTTTCTTTAGCAATCTTTATAAATGTTTAAGATTTTAAAGGTTTCAAGAAGGAGACACATTTACAGCGGGTAAAATAAGTATTGAACACTTCACCATTTTTCTCAGTAAATATATTACTAGAGGTGCTAATG